GTGGAAAGAACCAAGACAAGCCACCACTGCGACCACAACTTCGTTCTTCTAGTGTCTTGCACATACATGCCATTTCTATAATCTAATGCATCATCATCACATATACCAAAGTCAGCAATACACGTTAAATCTACTAAATTACACACATAAAGGAACTCACCCTTGTTGAAATTCTGGTCCTGGGCAAAAACTCGACCAAATCTTCACGTAACAACTCAAGAGCCCCGCCAGCAAGACTAACCAATATGTCACTGCTATACAAGACCAAGTTCAAACACCACAACATTAGAATAAGGCAAATACCAAAAACATCCTACAGATATGATCCAATCTTACTTGTAATGATTTCGGGAGGTACCTTCCGAGAAGCGAACTACTAAAAGCAAATTGAATCATCTTTACTGCCTCCAGAGTCAATGGTGTCTTAACAACAAAAGGAGGAGCAAGGTACAAAGGTTGTGATTTCTTAGCTCTGGGATTTGCACGTTCGAATGGAGAGACCACATACAAACTAGGCTTCAATTTAGATACACTACGTAGTCCACCTCCCTTTCGCCCCTTTATTGTTCAAAAACATAAAAACAAAACAAGTTCATTAGTAACCACACCATAAGTACAAATAATTAGAAAACTTAGTAAAGTGTAATACCTTCACAGTCTTGGCACAACCATCATTAGCAGCAACACTTTCATCACTCAACAATACGAATTTCTCAACTTTAGACGCTTTCGCCTGCTTGCAAGGAGACTTTTTCACAACTTTGACAGAAGGAGATTCAGAACCGCTGTCATCTCCAATTTCCCCCTCAGCTTCTCCCCAATTCTTAACACCTTACCCTTGAGTCTTGACACATTCGGAGGTAGGAGAAATGGGTTCACTTGGTTTTTCAACCTCAGCCTTCTGATTGCCCTTTTCCCCTCTGATAAGCTGCTCCGTTGACAACAAAACAGCTGCAGAAGCTTTCACATTATCAGCCTCATCCTTCTGATCGTTCTTTTTCAACTCAGTAGGCTGCTCCCTTGACAACGGATCACCTATAGTTGCTTTCACTGCCTCTATAATGGACTTCACTTGAGTACCAATTTCGTCTCTAAAAGCCCAAAATTCGTTCTCCATATTCACAACCCGACTCATTAGCTCATTATCTCTGGAAGCAGCATCACCCATTGCAACTCTAAATTCTTTCCTAAAGTTGTCAATTCTACCCTCCATGGTACTAAACCGAGCGTCAATACGCTCACAGAGAAGCAGCTCATCACCATCGGGTTTTTGCCGTTTCCCATTTCTTTTTTCCCGTTTCCTTGCAGGTGATTTCAAACCTGCATCCTCAGCTGATCTTTTACCCGAACTGCTGGAAACCTATAAATTAATTAAAAAGTGAACCAAATGTACCATTAGCATGCTCCAACTCGTCAAAAGAATCAAATATACTATCAGTCTTACCACTTTTGTTAACAATAACTCCACGTCTCCGCTCCCCCAACTCATCAAATCCAAACTCCCATCAATGGTTTGGAAAATACCATTTGCATGCTCCAAGAATATTAACTACAAAAAAAATACTATAATCAACATGATGATTAATCATTACAAATATGTAGAAAGTAGGGATTAGCAATTATTTACCTCCAAAAACAGCAAGCAACCCGGTATATACTTTCTCCCATCAGCATTATGGTCGCAGATGCATTTGACCAATTCATTGAAGCAAAACGATGCCCAATTCTTCTTCGGAATGTCCGCAACATCGAGGACAGCGTTAACCGAAGATAACGAAAAGTCATCTCTTCTAGTTGGTACTAATAGCACCCCCATTACGTACAAAATAAACGTTTGAAGAAATAGATCGCCGCTATCTTTCATCTCCGACAACGCCGTCCGCATTAAGCTTGTGGAAATCGCCTGTCGGGCACAATCAGCTGTCGAATACACTCTAAATGGTTTCAGTTCCTCGGATCTTCGTCCCACTTCTTCACCATTCAAGATGATATCAGTACCTCCCTCAGGCACGCCCATAATTTGCTCGAAATCTTTGGCCGAAATATGGACTTTCAACCCATAAGCCTGAATTGAGCTTTCTTCCAGATTAAAGCTCTTCAAAAGGATCTCCAACAACTCACGTTGGAGCATTCTTCCTTTGACTTCAAGCATACGACCAAAGCCACATCTCTTAATGGCCTCTGATTGACAAGCCTCTAAATTTGAGACTAGTGAGAATACTTTCCTAGGAGAACAGCGGGTGCTAAAAAGTTCATGACTCTTCGTCTTCATTATAGAACAATTTTAGCAAACTGCAAAATTAAAACAACAAAAAAATTATAAGCATGCCTTGAAACACGAATTATAAGCATGCCGAAGAGTACTAACAAAATACACAAAGCCAGAGTCGTCCACCACTAATCTAAAGAAGCAACTTTCAGTTTTCACACTTAAACACATTCGAGAAAACGTGGTTATGACAAAGTTTCATTCGAGAAAAGGATCATTTAATCATTCGGTAAACACATTCTCCAGGTAATGAGTTCAATCCTAGTTTTCAATATATGGCTTTTATCAATATTGAACAAATGCAAGACTATACCAGAGCTCACAAGCACACTTGCCTCGATATCAAGTTCTAACTACCAGAAGAACTGAAAACCCCCTACATCAACACCTGAGTACACTAATTAACCATGAAATCCGCCATTGGCATATATAAATTTCACCCAAAACGCCCAGCTTCCATTAAATTTCACCCAAAATGCAAATTCTCACAGCCGTGACATGACCCGTGAGAAGCAAAGAGTAGTTTTCATATCCCCAGACAATCTCACGGCTTTGGCTTCAAAAATCACGGCCGTTAAAATAAGCCGTGAAACTAAAAACACCGATAAAAATCTGCCATATTCATTAAGCTAGCGAGCATAAGATCAATCTATTACTGAGCACAAACTTCAGTGGAGGCCCATCAATGTTCGATTTCAAAACTTCTCCAGTACTCTTCCACTTGCTAGTATAAGATACAGTGATCTGGAAACATATCAAGAAGCTAGAGACAAAGTTTTTTTAAAGTCTAACCAACCTACCGATTAATTTGCTAAAAACGAGACAATTTGATGATACAATCAACTAGTAAAGATTTCCAAACTCTACAGACTCACTCTGCCAGTATGAGAGAAGTACAGTTACAAAGACATCAAGATTTCAGGACCCTGCAGTTAGCATTTAAACATAGCAGAATCATGCATGCAGTCCATTCTGGAAATGACACTCAACCAAGTTTCTCTCATTTATGCTTTTCCTTTTTCACTTTTATTAACTAAATTTGTTTCTGGACTGAATATTTGTCCTGCATTTCAAATTAAACTTTGTATTTCAAAGAAGAAGAGCTGCATATGCTCAAATCTGAGTTTCAAAATAATGGCTATGATGCTTGTTGATGTATTCAGAACTACTATTTGTTTGCAATTATGGCTTTAGCTTATAGTTGTTCTCATTAGTCATTTTAGCTACCAGATTCATATCATATCTAAATCCAAGGTTTAACCTGGAAAATCATAAACAGATTTCAGAGATTGTAATAAAACAGATTTTATTAGTCATTTTAGTCATTTTAGTTCAAAAAACAGATTTCAGAGATTGTAATAAACAAACAAAAAGGTTTAACCTGGAAAATCAGACACCATGCCTCTGTTCTTTTCTTCTGTTTTGTTCTAAGGCTCCCTTCTACATCTAAACCCGCCCATATTCTTTTGGACAAAAATCATAAACCACACACAACTTACAACTTTTGAGAGCTAAATAACATGACCACGAGCATAGCCACTAAGCTTTCCATAACCCATGACACCACCATAAACACTCGCTCTATTTCCATCCAAACTGGCTAAAACTCAAGTCACCCCTGATTTCATGAACTAATTCTTGACTAACACACTCAATTGCACCTTTTATGCAGCCAAGCAAGACCCTTCAATTAACAGTCCAAAATGTAATCAACAAGCAACGGTAACGACACTACAATACCAACAAGACCAAATCAACTCTTCCAAAATTTTCTCTGCAGACTCAGTTTGAAGGCAAACAACAATCCAACTTGTCTCAAGCCAAACTGAAAAGAATCAAACTTTGAGTATGAACTTTCCTATTCGATTTGCCACCATAAAACACAAATCAAGTCTCTCCAATCAAAAAGTTAAAACTGGCATGCATAAAGGAAGGAACACAATCGCTAGCTAGGTCAGATTTGGCACTAAATCAGTCAATATATAGCTAATTATCAAGCTAAACACACAGAAGATAGTACAAGGACATCAACCTGGTCAAAGGACATGACCAATTAAACTCATAAACCTAAAACGAGCATGGAATTTCAATCCCCCTACCGAAATGTGTAAATCTAGAACATCCCAACAACGAATGCAACAAATTCGGTCGATACAAATGCCCCCTCGAAGAATGAAGAACAACAGACTTCCTCCACCACCATTACCACCAAAGCTTCCCCACAAAAAGGAGAATCATTAACCACAAAAACAATGAATGCTGTGAATTCGTCCGATTCGAATCCTCCCACGAAGAAGATGGAAGAACTACAACAACAACATCCATCCAAAGCTTCCTCACCAAAGGAAGCATCATCAACAACAACAACTACAACTGCTGTGAATTCTTCAGACTCGAACTCTCCCCTAACAACAGAAGAACCCAATGCTCCTCCTCAACAGAAGAAGATTGAGGAACAACAACAACAGCCTGCTAAGGATGTTGCTGAAACGGAGACAAATCAAGCACAACCTCAACAGCAAAAACAAGGTGAAGAGAAGGTAAATGCTGCAAATTCTCCTTCAAAACAAGTGAAGGAACAACAGGAACCGCCATTGCAGCTAATTATCAAGCTAAACACAAAGAAGATAGTACTAACCGAAAAAAGTTGCGGTGGAGGAGGTAGGTCAGCGGTCTTCGTTTGCTATCGATGGGAAGAGGGGGTTCTGTGCAGGGTCTTCGTTTGCTATCGATGGGAAGAGGGTCTTCGTTTGCAATCGACGAAGAGATGCTCGCTCTCGTCGTCCCTTGCTCGCCGCCTTCACTGTCGTCGGAATCCGGCTCGCCGCCTTCACTGTCGTCGTCGGAATCCGGAATCCGAATCGCTGCAATCGACAAGCTTCTTCTACTCGTCGTCACCCACTGCTCGCCGTCTTCACTCGTCGTCACCCACTGCTCGCCGTCTTCACTGTCGCCGTCTTCACTGCTCGCTAGCTGCGTGGAGAGGATCGAATGAAGGAAGAGGATCGAAGGAAGAAAGGTTTCGGCGGTGAGAAGAGGGAGAAGAATGGTTTCGGCCGTGAGAAGAGGTGAGAAGAGGGAGAAGAATGGTTTCGGCCCAAATAATTTCAGATAACCGGTTGTACCGGTTATCCACACAAATAAAATAATATATTAATAATTTAAATAAAATCTAATGGTTGATATAGTTTGAACATGATCTAATGGCTGTAAATGTTTTATAGCACCAATACTATAAAGCACACTAAAATGCCTCTTTCGTTTTTTTGTCTTTTTAATAGCATACATATATGTTTATGTTGCTATGATTTAGCTCCTACCATTAGAGATTTCGTGCATTAATTTGTTGATCCAATTAGGACCTACATAATAGTTGTTTTACCTATCTGGGTCAATGTCCGTTATCTAATTCATCTAGATTAGGCGTAGAATGAGCACACGAGTTGATAATAAACAATAGACACTCTCTACGTAGCTATCAATTATCATTATCAAGAGAAGGGGGAGATTAGAGCGATCGACTTCTAATAATTGTAAACTTGAATTATTAAATATCAAAATTGTTTATAATGGCCGGTTTATTATTAGTAACCAAAGCTGCGTGGTATTTTTGTAACTGACCCGGCCGGAGCTCCATTCGGAATTGTGGTGGTAGAGATGGGACGAGAAGTGGGGATGAGAGCATTTTGGCCTTTCAAACTTGAGGGTGAAAGGCAGAAAGGGTAGGCAACTTACCCATCACATGCACCATCCAATCTAATCTCTCTCTCTCTCTCTCTCTCTCTCTCTCTCTCTCTCTCCTTCTCTCTCCAAAAACAAAAACAGAATCTGAAAGAAGCATCGTCACTGCTGCCGAAGTCGAGTTGCGGCAGAGAGAGTTGCACAGCATCCATTTGGATGGTTGTAAATTGTAATGTACTGATCATGTACACAACCATCCAGATTACAATTTTACATGTGGGTGTGGTCGATCATGTGAAATCGGAGTACTTATGTCAAGTTGCAATTAGGAAGTGGGAACTCTGTATGTGTTGCTGAGTTAGTTAAGGACCGAGTCTGTAGTTATGGGCTCTTTGCGGTTGCCCTGCCCCTAGGGGATGGCCATACTGTTTATCTCCTAACATGGCTGGCGTTTTTTTTTTTTTTTTTTGGAGTCTAACATGTCTGCCTTCAACTGGCTACGATGTATAGAAGACTTTTCTCCTCTCTTTTCCATGATACTATTTTTTTAAAAAAAAAGAGGTTGATAGTGTTAGTTTGTGATAGTTTGAGTACCAATGTGTAATTGTCCTGTAAATCGTGTAGTTAGGGTTTCTAGTCAAACCTATATATTGTACCGTGTATCATCGTTGAAAGGTAATAAAAACATAATACTAAAACCTTAGAGGAAGATCCTCCCCCTGGACTAGTGTTATACTGACCATACCACGTTAAAAATTCGGTGTTCTTTGTTTCTGCTTAGATTATTTGACATGGTATCCGAACGTGCGATCTGAGATTTATTAATCGTATTTCGTCAGGTAATTGTCTGATTATCTCTCGTTCTGCCGTCTAGGGTTTCCGTCAATTCCCTGGCGTCGCATCTGTCTTTTGGTCTGCATCTTGTTGGATTTCGCTGCCAAGGATTTTCGTTGGTTTCTACCCGGGCACCGCTTTTGATTTATTCGTCTGCAGCTCCTTGTTTCTTTCGCTGCTCAGGTTTCCTCTCGGCGCCCCTCTGCTTTGCTTTGACCTTTATTATTGTTGTCACATGGTTCTGGTTAGTAGGATCCTTGATGCTTGGGTTCTTTTTCTTCTGCTTGTTGCGCTGAGTTTTTGTCGAACACTCCATCAGGTCGGCTTTCTAATTTTGTGTGCTTACTTCCGTTCTTTCTATGGATCCTAGTAAGATGGAGGGTTTTGATGCTAAGTTCCATGGTAAGAATTTCCCGTTGTGGGACTCCAATTTTGTAACTTTGTTGAAGGGAAGCGACTGCTTCCGATCTTGAATGGACAGTCTCCTCGTCACGCTCCTGGTTCTCCCGATAAGGATGTTGTCGACTGGGCTGCCGGGAATGCCCAGGTCGTGACCTGGATCGTATCCTCAGTGGGTACTGCCACCGGACTTAGCCTTCGCCGTTTCACTAATGCTAGTGATAGGTGGAAGCATATTTGCTCCACCTAAACCCAGAATGATGTTGCCCGTTAGTTTGTGCTTCAGACTCAGGTTTTGTGCAGAGCCAGAATGATCCTTAGATGTTTACCAGACAGACTGTCCATGGAAACACAATTCTTCTCTTGTATGTTGACGATGTGATTGTGACTAGTAGCGATACAGAGGGATTAAGGAGTTAACGGAGACATGGGGTACAACATTCAATCTTAAGGAACTGGGTGAAGCATCTTATTTTATGGGCTTGGAGATATAGAGGAATAAAGCTAGATTGTTTGTCAATTAGAGGAAATATATCAGTGACCTGTTGGAGGCGGCACAGTTTGCGGATTGCAAACCGTGCTCAACTCTGATGGAATAGAATTTGAAACTAAATCGCAGTGATGGTATTCTGTTAGAAGATCAACATTCTACAGGAGTATAGTAGGAAGTCCGATTTATATGACACATACCAGACCTGATATCGCGTATGTTGTTCAAGTGGTGAGCCGGTGTATGGGTGTGGCCTGCACAACTCATTTGGATCATGTTCATAGACTACTGCGGTACTTGAAGGGTACTAGAGACGTTGGAATATTCTACCCTATAGATGAAATCTAGTAATCGAAGCATTTGAAGATGCAGACTACGCTGGTTGCCTCAACACTAGAAGATCTACATCAGGGTGGTGCATTAAGATTGGACGTTCATTTGTCTCGTGGAGGTGTCGGAAGCAAGACAAAGTTTCTAAGTCTTCAACAGAGGCAGAATACATGTCAATGTCAGAGGTTAGTTCAGAAATGGTGTGGCTGCAAAGGTTGTTTCAAGAACTTGGAGTAGAATGTCAGATGCATATAAGGATCTTCGGAGATAATACGAGCGCTATTCAGATTGCAGTCAATCTAGTACTACACGACAGGGCAAAGCACATAGAAGTACATGTTCATTATATCAGGCAGCTTGTCGCAAAAGGAGTTGTTCAACTCATTTACTTAGCGACAGAAGATCAGACTGTAGATGTCTTGACAAAAGCAGTTAGTTCTAGTAGGCATTGGTACCTATCTTCCAAATTGATGTTACGAACCCAACATCAATTTGAGGGAGGGTGTTAGTTTGTGATAGTTTGAGTACCAATGTGTAATTGTCCTGTACATCGTGTAGTTAGGGTTTCTAGACAAACCTATATATTGTACCGTGTATCATCGTTGAAAGGTAACAAAAACATAATACTAAAACTGAGAGGGAGATCATCTCCCTGTACTAGTGTCATACTGACGATACAACGTTAAAAAACTCGGTGTTCTTCGTTTCTGCTTAGATTATTTGATAGATAGAACAATTGTAGGTTGATAGAACTAGATCTCCAACTGCGATGTCACATGTTCTTTGGTCCCAAAATTGAATTTAGCTTGGCACCAATATATAATGTTGCTTTTAGGGATTAGTCGAGAGTTTTTCTGACTTTCAATGGTGATTCTGTAGACATCTTAACATATATTATTGAATTAATAATTTTACTGTTATAAAAGCTTATTTTTGGGTAAATAATATATTTTTTGTTAAGTTTGAGTTTGATCAAGTTGACATCTTGCACGGGGTGGGCGTTGGTTTGGACATGTGGCTGGTGGTGAAAATTGTACTGCTATATCTTGGGAATGTGAATGGAATCTGTCGCGGGATTGGTGATTTCTTAAAGAGAATTTATATTAAGATTTTGAGGATCGATCAATTCATTAAAAATATCCAAATAATTCAATCTATTTAAATATAATCTATTTTATTCAAACTCAACTGGATTGGTGGATTCATGGATTGCTGACAAATTATAGTTTAATACTTATAATTTTTATTCTTTACATTTTGGTAACTAAAATTTAATTTTTTATACGAAAAATATTATTAAAAAATTATGCTTTGGTACGTAAAATGTTTTATTGTGATCCAGTCCATGAATCTAATTTATCAATCAATAAATCCAATCCATGTACTTGGGAGAAATTTTACAATGCTATATAGCATTAATGCTACAAGTTTTTGCCTTTATGGTACAACTTGAAGTTGTACCTTTAACGTTATGGTACAACTTTAGATTGTACTTATACTTTTTGTACAAATTCTTTTATGGTACAGCTTGAACTTATACTTTTATGTGATGGTACAATTTCAAGTTGTAAAGTTGTACCATAACATAATGATACAAATTCATTTATGGTACAATCTAAACTTATACATTTAATGTTAAAGCACCAATACTATATAGCATAGTAAAAGTACTCTTTACTTAGACCTTCCAAGTTGTAATCATGTTTGGACGTGGTATTTTGTTGTGTTATGTTTTTTTACCATCAAAATGAAAGCTAGTAGATAAAGTGCTAGAAGAAGGATGCTGGTTTTGATGTTGCTGAGCTGCCGCAGATTAGCACTTTATCTACTAGCTTTCATTTTGATTCATTTTGAGACTTTTAGTTGAGTAGTTGAACTATAACTATTTCAGAATTTCAGATTGAGTTTGAGTTGGATATTTATCCTAGGTTGCTATTTCATTGTTTGGATAATTGAGTGTCGGTTTGATCAATGATCATTTCAGAATTCATATTGAGTTTCATACAGTTGTTGTCATGCTGGGTTTGGGTCTCGATTTGTCCATTCTATTTCTTCATTTGTCTGTTTTATTTATCTATAAAAAACTGAAAAATCGGGTCTGGGCGGGTGTCGGGTAAATCCGTACCTCGGGTGCGAGCGGGGGCGGTGAGACTTCTCCCCCCGAGTGGATCTAGCAGGCAGGGTTAATGATACCCGGGGAGCAATGACGGGTGGGCTTCATATATGGGGTAACCGTCCCAGATCCGGCCCGTTGCCAACCATATTTGGGTATTACCCTACCTAATTAGGTCGGATTCGGGCGGATATCCATGGTTACGGATATTTTTGTCATCCCTAGTATTTTGAGAATTTTTTTAGATAACGTGTATTTTGGAAAAATTTTTCCTTAGTATGCTATATCATGGTGTCTTATGCAAAAAAATATGGTTTCATCTTTTTGAGGCGACTCTGAATTGGTCATCTGACACGTGACATTGAAGGACTTTACCCACTCTCGAGTTGTCACAATCTGAACAGGCACTCACCCTCGGCAAATCAAAGCGAAGCGACGCCATGGACAAGGGACGCTCCATAGGGGAAGCAGGCAGGAGGCTGCTTGCTCGCGGGGAAATCAAACAGCAAGGAGGTGGCGGTGGGACTCGCTCTCGACAAATCAAAGTAAAGCGGCGCCATGGACAAGGGATGCGGTGCATAATGGTTCCCTCTAAGCAAGCTCGTTTTGAAGCCGGACGATTTTAAGCCGATGGAGGACTGCTCGATGAGCATGTTCCCTCCTACTACGAGAGCTGCTCGTCTTTTTGTTATTGCCATCTCCCGAACGTCCAAACGGAGGTCCAATAATGATCAAAGCTAGCTGGTCCATTTAAATTCCATTTGCCAAGCAAGCTGCTCCCAAGCAAGCTGATCCATTTAGTTCCATTTGCCAAGCAAGCTGCTCCATTTTATTCAAGCAAGTACGAGTGTAATAGGGTTGGAAGCGAGTATGGAAACTTTGGAGCAAAATCAGAGCCAGTTCCGACGGAAGTAAGGTGAGTGTAAAGGGGGTAAATTCTACGCCTTACGGTTTTTCAAATATTTGTCTAGAGTATTTTTCAAGTATTGATTTACGTGATGTATGTGCAGTGTTTGATTCATGTTTGAGATTGCATGATTATGTTTGACAGTATGTGCTTTGGTTGAGCTATGATTTGAAATGAAGATGTATGAGTTTATCTCTTACTTTGAAGTTTACGTTTATGAGTGATTATTAAAACTTATGAACAATCCCTTTTAAGAAATACTTCACCTTCGAAGAAGGTGAAATCGTTTTAAGTGTTTTTAGTCACTAGCGCCAGTCCGTTGCCATTTGAGATTTTCAGATAGAGCAGTAGTTATGCTCTTGAGATCTTTGAGACAAAGCAGCAGTTATGCTCTTGAGATATTTAAGTTGAGCAGCAGTTATGCTCTTGACATTTTTAAGATGAGCAACAGTTATGCTCTTGAGAATCGTGGAAGAAGAGCCTTCCACGATAAGTTTAAGTTTAAGGAAAGCCTTGATGGCTTCTCATACATATAAGTTGGCAACGGGACTAGCTAGTGAGGGATCCCCGTGTCAGTCAAGTATTTAAGTTGAGATTTAAGCTTTGAGAATGGAGAGTAGCAGTTACTCCCATGCAATTTAAGAGTTTAAGATTTTTAAGAATGGAAGTACAAACAACTTCCCTCGGTTTGAGTTTAAGTGTTTGAGAAGAAGTGCAAAATTATTGGAAAGTTTAAAACGTAAGGGCGTAGAATGACCCAAACTCACTCACCAGGCCTTAGTAAGGGAATAAGCGAGAACCATATCGGTAGCAGCTAGCTAGAGGAGCAGTTAGAGAGCAGCGAGTTCGAGAGGAAAAGTTCGAGGGCAGCCAACTAGAGGAGGGCAGTGCAAGCTTCACGGAGGATACCTAGTTAAGATTTTCAGTATCAGCAACGACAGAGACTACCTAGTTATTTACATTTTATGATTATGAGTATGGACTGGAGATCAGATTGAGATTTTAAAGTTTTGAGTATAATTTGCCCACGTGTTAGGGCTTTGCTTTGAACTACAAGTGTGTGTTTTTAGTATTTTATTTATGAAAAAATTTTCCGCTGCAATTTAAGATTTGAGTATTTTATTTATCAAGGGCAATTTAGTAAAAGTATTACCCGGCCGGGTTAGGGTGTTTCATTAATATTACGAGTTCAAGCTTCCCTACATAGGTTAGAAGTCTTGGATGCCATCCCATAATCCTCCCAGCAATTCTGTCTACCAGGTTTTTGCAGTCTTCTGATGAGAGCTTCCAAGCATTCAGGGGCAATCCAAGATACCTGACAGGCATCTGCCTTCCTTGAACCCAGAACACAAGACTAACTCCACTTTCAAACTGTTTGAGACCCCAACACTGAAAATCTTACTCTTACTTGGGTTACATCTCAACCCTGACACAAGATAGACTATGGAGTACATCAGCAACTATTGAAACCCCTTCCACAGACCCCTTAGTGAAAATTAAAAGGTCATCAGCAAAACCCAAGTGTGTTAAGCTAATTCTACTACATTGAGGGTGGTAGGGTAGAATAGCACGAGCAACTGCTCTATTAAGCATACAGCTGAGAACTCCATACTAACACTAAACAGGTAGGGAGAGAGAGGACACCCCTGCCTCAGCCCCTTCTTAACTTCAAAAAGTCCTGTTAAAACCCCATCAATACAAATAAAAAAAACCGGCAGAGTCTAAGCTGCCTTTTACCCAAGTTACAAACTTCTCTGGAATCCCCATGGCAGTCAAAGTACAAAGTAAGAAATCCAAATCAACACTATCAAAAGCTTTCATAATGTCTATCTTAAGGGCACACGTAGGAGAAACATTTTTCCTGTTATACCATTTCACCATTTCATGTGCAAGCACAATATTGTCAGTAATGAGCCTACATCTAATAAATGCAAACTGATTGGGACTAATGAGCTGTGGCAGGACTTTTTGAAGCCTATTAGAGTTAGCATTTGGTACCTTTGGCATGAGGGCTAAGATGGTGCAGTTTTTCTCCTTTCTCATCTTACCAGATTGGAAGAATTCTTGAACGGCCTTAGTGAAAACTTCCCCAACCAATTTCCAGTGAACTTCGAAGAACTCTGCTGGGTATCAATCAGGCCCAGGAGCTTTCCCCTACTTCATTCCCATGACAACAACCTTAACCTCATCACCTGTGATCACAGAGAAAAACTCCTCCCCTCCCTCTGTCAAATGGAACTGCAACAACTGCCTAATCGTGCCAACAGAAACCCTGCTCAAATTTAAGTCCTGAGCACTCAGTAACCTCTTGTAAAAACTTACTGCTTCTAGACCAATCTCCTTTATACTCTCCAGAACTAGACCTTCCTCCTTAACTAACTACTTTATAGTATTCTTAGCTTGCCTTGATTTCATCATACTGTGGAAAAATCGTGAGTTGGTATCTCCACTGTTAATGCACTGCTGCTTAGATTTCTGTTTGAGAAAAGAATCCTCAGCCTTTTGGAGTTCAAGAAGCTAGACCATACACCTCTTCTCAGCCTGGAAGGCTGAGGAGGCAGGGCACTCCAACACTTCTTGTTGCGCTTGATCAAGTTTCTTCTTCACATTGAGGACCCTATCATGGATATCATAATAGAAATCCCTGTTGAGACCATTCAGACAAACTTTAATGCTTCGCAACTTTTGATACAACCTAGCCATAGCAGAACCAGTTGCAGGACAAAGCCAACCCACCTTCACCAGCCTGTCGTACTAAGGGTGAAGTTTCCAAAATCTAAAATACTTGAAAGGCCGAGGCAGAGTTTGAATCTTAGAGTCCACACTGATAAGCAACCCACAGTGGTCCGAGAGCCCTGGCAAAAGAACCGTTACTGAACTCCGTGGATGAGCCTCCAACCATCCTTCTAAGACAAGTGCACGATCCAACCTTTTAGCTATTGGATTTGCAGATGGTTTATTAGACTAGGTAAACCAAGGACTAAGGAATTTGTGATCAATCAGTTCCAACTCATTAATCCAGGACTTGAAATCCAAATCACTCACCCCCAAACCCCTTGAGTTTGAACCCTCATAACTATCCACAATTGCATTGAAATCGCCAGCCACAATCCAGGGAAGTGACGGGTCCACCTTCCCAGCAATTTCTTGGTACATCTGTTTCCTGCAACCTCATTTGACCCATAGACAAAAGTAAACTGAGTTGGGACACCCTCATGAAGCATACCATGAGAATAGTTACCACTACTCTCCAAAACACTAAACTTCAACTTTTTCTTCCAGAGAACCCAAATTCTTCCTACACCAACAGCTGAATAAGTCTCTTTATGTTCCCAGCCAGGGAACTTATCTACTATGATTTTATCCACTTTATCATAGCTAACTCTAGATTCTAAAATAGCAACCATCTCCACCTTGTACCTACGGATTGACTCAACTATACTATCTTGTTTTGCAGGGCTATTGAAACCCCGCATATTCCAAACTAAAACATTCATGACTTAGCAGAGTTTTATGCCCCTTTTGGAGGCCTACCAAGCTTACCCTTCATCTTCTTCTGCAAACCTTCCTTTTCCGGCACAAGGAAATGAACTGGATCCTTCAAAGGGGAAACTACTAACTCACCAACCTCAAACTAAGTCAAAGAAGATAAAGCCCCCAAATGAGTTATGGCCTACAACCTCATTTGCGGCAACAGCTTACTGAAACTCCCTCTTTGACGGTAAACCACAACCCTGCCAAGAAGTGGAACGCTCTGTCAAAGAGGAAACAAGATTAACTCTCTGTAAACCCTCTGGGTCAGGATTAACTCCTTCAGCTTCATCAGAATTAGGAGCCTCCTGAGGCGAAACATCTACAGCCTGAATCACCTCATCATGAGAAACAAGTGTGCCCATAATAGCTTCACTCTCAGCTTGTATCTGCTCCTGGGCAATCTCAGCAGTCATTCCTGTATCCTGCTGCTCAACCTGAACCTCATGCAGATCCTCCTTCATAGAATTATGCCCAAATTTTCAGCACTTTGCACAAATTTCTGGTTTGTTGCATAACTCAATATGAATATTATACACAGGTCTTCGATCAGGAACGAGACGTAGAAAATCCAGAATCTCTGAGTCAATCCCCATCTCAACACAAAATCGAGGATATCCCAATCATTGTCCTAGGTGAGTGGATTTATCAAACCAAAGAGGTTTGCCAATCATACTAGCTAGACGCGTAAGGATACGACTCGTACCATGCTCAAGAGGCAAATCCAGAAAGCATACCCAGATAGGAATAGTCTGCCTTAGCTTCTTTGCACTGATTCCTGGTTCCCACTTCCTCAGTTAGCACATATCATTCCTCATATGTCAAGGACCACTCGAGAAAACCCAATGCACAGTCTAAGCAGTTGGAAATTGGAAGAGCAGCAGCCTCTCTCCCAGCCACGAAACCCTAATCGATCCCTTCTTTCCCAGAGACGATTTGCCCAAGACTGAACTTGTCGAAGATGAGGAGAAGAAGAAAGTAATTGGCCTACCAGGCAACGCTTCCACCTCTCAATGCCCTCATCTTCCAGCTCCACAGAGATACGAAGACCCCCGTCCACGATTTCGGGCTCGACGTACACCAAACGGTTCTCCTTAGCGATGTCGAAGAGCTCCACCCACGAACGACCCAGCAGCGAGCCCATTCCTGTAATCAAGCTTGACGATTGCAAGACCGGCGACAAAGATCGCAACACAAACGACGGGAACGACGCAATCGCCGAAGGCGGCGAATCGTCCAGAGAGAGAAACGACTCAACGTCAGAAATCTCCTTTAAAAGAAAATCTAGAAAATAATTCTTTTTTACTTGAAATGGCTACTTTCCATATGATTTGTTGGCCGGAATATCTAAATTTATTTTTATACATTATTTCAAAAACATTATGATTTTTAATTTCTAATCATACATGAATCAAATCAATGAAAAATTTTACTCACTCTTGGGAGCTTTGCCAGCTTATACGATGCAGACATCCTTC